ATACAAACTACAAACCTCACTCATACAAACTACAAACCTCACTCATAAAAACAACAAACCTCACTCATGAAAACTACAAACTTTACTCATACAAACCTCACTCATAAAAACTACAAACTTCACTCATAAAAACTACAAACCTCACTCATAAAAACGACATAATTAATAATAATTAAATAATGTGAAGGTGGACCTGCACTTCTCTGGATGTTCGTCTCTCTTGTTGTTGAAGTCCAGAGAGATTTTAGCGTCCAGTCCGATTCCAAAGTAGTTATTCATGACACACTTCTCAGTGTAGCAGTCCCTGTACACACAGATAGGCAATCAGATAGAGACAGAGAGAGACAGACAGGCTGTCAGAGAGAGAAACAGAGAAAGAGAGAGAGAGAGAGACAGACAGAGAGAGAGACAGAAAGAGAGTCTCACATGTTGTCGGGGTCACAGCTGAACGGGTCGGCATTGACCAAAAGTCGACTGATCACAGAACTGCTGGAGAGAGAAGCTGAGATTCCTCTAAGACCTGCACACACACACACACAAACACATCAGACTGATGACATCATGATAACATTCAGGACTTCCTGGCGGACCTCAGAGTACCTGGATAGAGGATCTTTGTGTCGAGTGTGGGCGTGGTCTCCCTACTTCCTGTCTGGACAGGAAGTGATGCAGAGCTGCCCAGTGACTGGCTGCCTTTACTGATCAGCTTCTCACAGGGCCTCTTACTGACTGAGGAGACAGACAGGCAGAGAGAGAGACAGGTCTATAAGCTCAATGGTGACAGCATGTACTTCCTGTCCTCTGCCCACAGACCCAAGTGGACCAGATCCTCATGGTTCTGGATATTTGAAGGACCAGTTCATGTCGTCTTCAAGGTCTGTTGTTTGTTTACTCACCATATTTATGTATGCCTCCTGATAAATATAGAATATATATACATACTGTATATATTAGGGCTGGGCAAGTTAACGCGTTATCGCACTAATTAATTAACGCTGACAATTATTTTATCGTGCGTTAACGCACTTTTCTTTTTATTATTAAGCGGACATTTTTAACACAAGAACCCGGCAGCGAGCGGTGAACAGCTGTTTGTGTAGCATCACTTCCGTCTCTTCCTGTTCCCTTCACCTACATTCCCCTGGGTCCTAAGTCCCTCCATGTACAGCTTCTTATCACACTCTATGTACCAACGTACATTTATAACAAATACCACACATATTACGGTAATCAGTGTTGCATATGTGTCAAACTCTATCGGTGCATCTCCGGTCTGTCTTTGTTCATCCTGCATCGCTCTGTTCTGTTCTTTAATGTAACGTAACTGGAGTGACGGAGCCTCTCCCAGCTGTTAGCAGACTGTTGTGCTAGCAGGCTCGCGAGCGAGCTGTACCCAGCATGCAGTTCGGCGGTGAAATTTTATAAATGTACAATTATTAGTGTTACAAATTGTTTATGTGTCACAGACTGTTGTGTGCTGTTGTGTTTTTCTCTGTTAAAGAGCGTTAGTTGTGGGTTGTTAATTGTTGTGTTATAAAGTTATGACCATGACTAGGGTTCCCTCTCAATACATATAAGACAACTAGCGCTGACCGCTGTGCAATAGTGGCAAACAATACATTTAGCTGCCTGTTGAAAGCAGACAGCAGTTGTATGCACCGGTATAATGGTGTGTGAAGAATTCATATCATACGGGAAATTGAAATCGGTATACTGCCCAGCCCTAGTCTTTATTATAGTTTGGACAATTTTGTACCAATATTTGACGGGCCGGATTAAAAAGCCCAACGGGCCGTATCTGGCCCGCGGGCCGTAGTTTGCCCATGCCTGCTCTATAGGGTGGGTAGATATTATGAGTGATCCAGTCAGTAGTGTTTTTTCTATTGAAATAAACTGGCACCAGTAGTACCAGACGCAGCAGCACCACTGACCTCTGCGTGTGTTGCAGTGCTTGGTGCTGTAGGACGACTGCAGAGACAACTTGTCCTGTTCTTCTTCCTCCTCTTCCAACCCCTCATCTTCCCCAGGTGGACTGAGAGAGTTCTGCTCTTCCACCGCTGAAAGACACGAGAGAGAAGAGTAAAGACTACAAACATGCAGAGAAAAAGTTAAAGACTACAAACATGTCCGATGGTGTTCTTAAACTATCGTGTGATGATTCCGACCTTTCTCCGTGTGCTCGATGATCTGTCTGATGGCTTTCTTCAGACTGTTGGCTCTCAGCATCAGCTGCTCTCGAGGTTTAAATATGGCCACCGCTGAAGAGGAAGCAATAATCCATGGGGAGAGGGGCGGGGCATGAGGAGGATGATGATTGTGACGCTGATGATGAAGAGAAGGAGGCAGCACAACTCCTTCAGCATCCTCCTGCTCCTCAGCGATGGTGGGGGGAGGGGGCGGGGGGGGCACGGTGGAGGCCTGAGACTCTTCATTCAGAGTCTTTAGGAGGGAGTCCAGCTTCTCCTTTAACACACCACACTACACACAGACATGACTCAGCATATTACAGACACGACTCGGCAAATTAAAGACACGACTCAGCATATTACAGACAGACACGACTTGGCACATTACAGACACGACTCGGCACATTACAGACAGACAAACTTCACCAGGTTCATCTCTGTCAGCTCACCTGGTCGTTTCCATATATTTACCATCACACGATTTGACCCAAACATTTAAGTAAGAAGAGGAAACAACCTTTTTTATCTCGAGATACTGATATTAAAGTTTGAATAGTGTCCTTTAAAGGCTTCCATATAACAGAAACACAATGTCAACAGTTTCTTATACATATATACAGTTGTGTGAAAAAGT